GCTCCGCCTCCTCCCCGTCCACGGCCCTCGGGGACCCGCTGGAGCAGGAGTACCTATCCATCCTTCGCCGCGTCCGGCATCATATGGACCAGCTGTCCATGATGACCATCGAGGATGTCCTCCAGAAGGCTGAGTGGTACGGGCTGAACGGCTTCAGCGCGGCGGAGGCGCTTGGGTTGCGCCAGCTCTTCGGCCCGGCGAAACTCGTGGAGGATCGTTTGGTATCTTTACTACACTATAAACCCGCCTCCTCCGAGAACTCGGTACACTTTATCGAGTCGGGGTATAACTCCGGGAAGTCGGCCCTGTTGGAGCGTCTGAGTCAGCGAGTGCGGGCGGGGGAACGGGCCACCATTATACGCTACAGCAGCACCGCGACGCCTTTTATTCCCGACTTGGATGATCATCCCGTCGCCTTCGCGTCGCGCTTTTGGTTTCGAGTCGCGTTGGCGCTCTGCCCGTATCTGATCCGCACCGAGGGCTTGTTCAGCCGCGCACCGAAATCGGTGTTTTGGTGGGGAAACGCCAACAACTGGTCCTGGGAGGCCATCCAGCGATTAATCCCGTCGGCCGGCCACTCCGGATGGGGCCGGCGTGGGAGTGCGGAGTATGCGGGGACCTCCAGAGGGTGGTTGAGCGAGCTCAGCGATCAGCCACAGCTTGGTATGATTCTTGTCGACGACATCGACCGCGTCCTTGATGCGATGGAGGCGAAGTGGGGTCCGCTCTGCGAACGCGATTCATCCCTCTTCGCGTTATCCTTAGAAGAAGACTTCAGGGAGGCTATCGATACCGCCGCGGACGACGCGAAACCCCGCAAGCGAAACAAAACAACCAACAACGATAACGACGACGACGACGACGACGACGGCGAGGACGGCAAGGCGGTCGACGCGAGGCGGGGCGCCGCGAAGCCTCAGGCCGTCGAGGAGACCCGAATCGCGACCGAGGCGCGTCGACTCGCCGTCTCGCTGGCCCTCACCGAGGTCGAGCAGCAGCGGCGGCGGGAGCTGACCCTTGGGCTGGGCGGCGGGCAAACCCTGGCGGGGGCCACCGCGGGGGATATGGTCACCTCGGCCCTAAGCCGGGTCACGACCGCGTTGGGGCAGGTCGACCTGGTTTTCACCGGGTCTCGCTTGAGCGCGCTCTTCCAGACGAAGTGCCCGGTCCCGGTCCTGCGGTACTTCGTGCCGATCGCGAACGGGGTCGGGCTTCAGCAGCGGCTGCGCGTGCTCCCGTTGTTGGCGGTCCTCCACGCCCTTCACCTGCGCTCGAAACTCGAGATGCCCGGGCTGTTGTACGAGGTCATCAAGAACTGCCCGGGGTTAATCGGGAGGGCGCTGGATATTTTCCTGTCGGGGCGCGCGGCTCTGCTGGATCTGCACCGCGGCCCCCCGCGCCTTTCGGCCCGGCTGGCGGCGGTCTCGAGCGGTGGGCGCGTCGACGCGGCGTTAGGGGCCTCGCTTCTTCACAGCTACCCCCCGCAGGACCTTTTTGCCGAGCTGCCCATGCGCAATCACCTCCTTCGCAACCCCCGCCATGCGCGGCGGCGGTTGGTGGAGCTTCTGCAGTCCCAGCTCAGCAGCCCAAGTGGCTACCTCCGCACGGGCATCGACACGACCGCGCGGGATGCGCGGGATGGGCTGGTGACCCCGCACAACCACACCGTCTCCCAGGTCCACCCCCTTGCCCTGCTGACCATCTTCGCCTACCAAGACGCCCTCATGGATTCCTCGGCGACCTCGGCGGCGGCGTTGGGGCTTGGGGGCGGCCCCGCCACCCCGGCGCCGTACGCGAACGAGTCCAAAGTCGTCCGGGCCTGGGCCGAGGTGTGGGCTGAGTACCGCCATGTGGTGGCCGAGACCGCCACGACGATGGCGCGCAAACGCGATGCGATGCGGGTTTTACTGCACGCGGCCCTGCTCCTGCGCTCCGCCACCCTCGACGTCGGCCAGCTCGACCTCAACCTGAAGCTTCCCCCGTATGGCTTTCCGCTCTTGGCGACGCCGGTTCGGCCGAAGGGCAAGCAGGCCCCGCCGGGCGCCGCCCTCGGGGCGAAAGACGGGGTGGCGATCTGCGCGGCGACGGCCGAGAGCGTCAGGAAGGCCGCGGCGGCCTACAAGGCCTTCTTCGCCCAGAACGCCACGCGGCAGCGGGTCTACCCTTTCCGCCCGATGGTCGGGCTTAACCTCGGCTGCGATGTGGTGCTGATGGCAGGGACGACGATGGCGCTGTACGACATCGTCACGACCCCCTCGGAGCTCCGCACCGCCGTCGGGCGCTTCGCGGAGGCCCTCCTCGGGGTCCTGCACGTCCTCGAGCGGCAGGTCCTGGCGGCGGGCCAGCTGGGCCAGGTCCACTACGTCTCGGTCGTCTCCATGGATCAGCCCAAGGCGGCGGTGCCGAGTTTGGCCCCGCTGCCGCCGGCCGCCCCCGCGGGGGCGATCACGGTGCCCTACTTCCTGGATTACCACGCGGTCTTCGAGGACGGGGTGATGGACCAGCTCCAGCGCCTGCAGGAGGCGATGGGGGTCGCCAAGAAGTTCCGAACCTTGCACGACCTGATCGACGAGCTGGAGCGGGGCTACCAGGTCTCGGTCCTGCAGGAGGTGGTGGCCTCCCACGAGGAGCTGGAGTCGTTGTTCTCCCCGACCTTGCTTCAGCTGGTGCCGGACGCGACCGTCTTGCCGGCCTACAAATCGCCCGTTATCTCCGTCGAGGACCTCATGGCCGAGGCGATGATGAAGCCCCATGACCGCGACGACGTCGCCGATCGCGATATCGAGGCCAGCATCCTGAACCCCGACGACGAAGGGGATGACGAGCAAGAGGGATTACTGGAGGACGAGAACCAGTCCGGGGCCGAGGTCGACGACATCGCGAGTGATCGACTGCTCTCGACCGATAGCCGCGCCCTATC